CAGCAGCTGCCCTGGATGGGAGGGAGGGAAAAAAAACCCCTGCCGGATCAGGCCGGCACTGGGAAGGATGGAAACCGCCCCTCCAAATCCTTTTTCTCGTTGTAGCCGTCCCCAAAGCTCACTGGGGCGGGAAGGGGCTCGTCCGTCAGTCCCGCAGGAGGAAAGCTGACGGCTGCTCGTGGTGGGCGACGCCTGCCTAAACCGTCCCCTGCAGAATCCCCTCGGCGTTATAATTCCCCCGGTTTCCAGACAGCTCACCCAACCAGGTTGCCCGCCTGCGCTGGCTGCTGGCCGGGCTGGGCAGGGTGCTAACGCGGGGCTGGAGGGGCCAGCCTGACGCTGCGAGCTGCAGCTTTGCATCCCTGCGCGGCTTTCCGCAGCTCCAGGATGCGATCGAGGCCGGGCTCAGAGCTCCTGCCTTCCCCTGGCGCCGGAGGCTGATGGCCAGGCCGCTGCGCCGCGGCGTTCCCCCTTTCCCTCGGTGGCCACAGAGCCAGGACAGCCCCGAGCCCCTGCGCCGCAGCTCTCTCTGCCTCCGACACCCCCAGCCTCCGCTCCGGAGGTTTCCATGCACCAGCAGGCAACGCAGGCAGCTCTGCCTGGCTCCGTCCTCACCACATGGGGTGGCAACCACGCCAGCTGGGCCAGAAGCCCAGCTCAGCACCGAGCCCGGAGCAGCGCGGCACCGCCTGGGCTTGGCAGCAGCTCCGGGGCTGCCTCTCCTGCAGCACCTTTCCTTTCCGCATCTCTTCTTGCTGCAGGGAGGGTGGAAACCTCACCTCGCTCCCCGCGGGCACGGGGCTCTCCCTCCACCCCTGCTCCGTGCCACCCCAGCCTGAGGCCAGCACAGATCCCCCCCGCAGCCCGTGAGGTGTCTGTGACCCCCAGACTCACCGAGGGGCTGCCCAGGGCTTGGCGAAAGCTAAGCCTCCAGGAGGGACCCCGTCTGTTACCACACGGTCCCCAACGCGCTTGGTCGTGGTTAAACAAGACGCAGTTAAATATGCGGACCCTCCGAGAACAAGGGATGCAGGTCAGAGAGCAAAAAACTGCAGCTGGGCAGCTAGGACCAACAAACATCACAGAAATACCTTCTGCAGGAGAAATTACTCCTCCTGTTATCTGGGAAGAGGGATATTGTGGCTGGAGGCAAATCCCCGGCGAGACCCAGGCAAAGGACAACGCCCAGACCCCAATCCAAGCACCACATCCCCTCCGAAGGGGTCGGCACGTCTCTCGCGTCTCTCAAAGCTCCTGCCGCTGCCGGCTCACAAGAGGACAAGCACGAGCAAACCTCGGGAGGCTGCAGGATCAACCCCCTGCGCAGGCAAACAGATGAGAAGTGTCGCAGCTCAAGGTGGAAGTTCTTTATTTGTGGCCTGGAGGAAGGAGCAAAACCTGGCAAGTCTGTCATCAAGTAGGAAATGCAATCAAGGAGGAAAACGAGCTTCACGGAATTCAGGATAAGCTTAAAAATTGCCGTCAGCAGCAGAAGGCCGCCGCACGCGAGCGGCGTGCGTCCCCCGAGGCGCTGGCACCGGGGATGCGTTTGGCTCCAGCAGACCCGGCGCGGGCCCTGCAGCTCAGCGCCCTGCTCAGAAAGGACTGAATTTCAGCTAGCCCTTCATTTACTCTCAGCTGTAGTGTCCGTACGAAGAAAGGAGAGCACGAGACTGGCGTGACAGACAGATGGGTGCCGGACGGACAAGCGGACATCTCAGGCTCCCAGCAGATACAGTGCTACGGTTCACAGCAGTACAGAGCCAGCTCTGGTGGGATCTGACCTCACACCCGCTCTGCTCCTGGGAGAGGGACGTCCCGGCTGCATCTGCCTCAGCCTGCGGGGACCACCGCCCCGTCCAGGAACGCCCCTGCCAGGGGACGGGGCCACTGCCCCCTGCCAGGGGCCAGCGTGGTCCTCGTGTCCCCTCCAAGAGCTGCCGCTACTGCTGCCGCGCCAGAGCTGCCCCCAGCGCGAAGGCTGATCTCAACCCCCGAGGGGCTGAACGCCCCAAAAGGGGCTGCTGCTGGGGGCCTGGGCAGCTCTCGGGCTGAGATGGGGGAGAGGGGAGGAAGGGGATGGATATCCGTGGGCGGCGCTGCCTGGGACTCGGGAAAGGCCAGGAAAGCAACTCGGAGGGAGAAACAGTGAACGTCACAGCCTGCCCACCCCGCGCTGTCCCTGCGCCCTCGGCCGTGGCAGCTCAGAAGAAAGTAACGGCACAGAACGGGGGTGGGCTTGCTCCCACCCAGCACCCCCGGTGCTCCCTCCCCCAGGCAGACGCCGGATCAGCAGCGTCACCACCAGTCACTGATCAGAGGAGGCAGCTATCGGCTCCGACTCTGGGAGACGTCACCCCGAGATGTCCCAGAGCAGCAGTGGTCGGTCACGTTTCTGTCCGTCGGTCAATCCCAGGCTGTCCATCACTGATTTTTGTTTGCTCCTGCAGCCCAGAAATCTGCAAGACAGCACGGAGGTGGGGACGCAGTCCTGCCTGGCCTGCCCTGCTCACGAAGGCTGCCGGGCAGGACCCAAGCAGGGGGAGAAGGGAAGAAAGGAGACCCCTCTCCCAGGAAGCGCCGGGCGCCAGCTCCCCTCCCACCTCTGCAGGCACATGCAGCAACGCGGCGAGTCCCGCGTGCAATTCAACCGCAGCGCAAGACACGCTGCGGGAACTCACGCAAGGAAGAAAGGGGAGGCAGAGGCTCTCCGTGCCCAGTCCTGCCGGCGGGGCACAGAAAAGGGGCATCAGGGGACACTCAGAGGTGTCCAGACAGGGAAGGACAAGAGGTGCCATGTCAACCATGTCAACCGCGGGCTCAGAGGGAAAACCCAGCAAGTTCTCCTGCCCTTCCCAAGTCATCCCTAGGACTGTCCGCGAGGACTCAGCGGTGTTCCCCACGTTGCTCTGTGCCTGCTCCGATATGGGGGGTGACTTTGCTCCACCTTCCCAAAAGCAGAGGAAGCTTTGAGAACGAGTGCTGCCGAGTCAAGACCTGGGCTGGCTGCTCTCACCCCGAGACCCAGACACCCAGCATCTGCCCCCTCTTCCCCAACGCGGTCGGTGCCCCGCAGCTGCCTCAGGAGGGGCAGAGCCTGGCACTGGTACGAGAGGACCAAGGTGCTTGAAGAAGGTCACGCTACACCTACTGCTATGGCAGCCATGCCCCTGTACCGTGGGGCAACAGGGTTTCTGACACGAGCCCCGCTCTAATCCCGCGGAGGGGGAAATGCACGTCACCTAGAGTTTAGCAGAGGATGAAGCAATACCCAGCAAGGTGGAGAAGCTGTTGGCAGAGGTCAGCCAGCTCCCGCCGTCCACAACCAGGGTGGTGCCCGTCACGTAGGAGGAGAGGGGGCTCGCCAGGTACAGCGTGCTGTGGGCGATCTCCGTCTTGTTCCCCGCGCGCTGGAGGGGGATCATGTCGAACTGGCTTCCTTCCTCGGCAAATTTCCCACCTAAGAGCGGTAAAGAGTCAGCTGGGACCACGGGACCCCCTGCCCACCGCCACTGCGGTGCTGCTTGCGTGGGGCTTGCCAGGAGCCCCGGGGAACCTAGGTGAGATCCTGGCACGGCCCTGAGGACAGCCCAGGGACAAAGGCCTGGGGAAAGAGCTAAACGAGGGGAGCTCAAGCCCAGCGAGAGGCCTAGAGAAAGAGTTAAACGAGGGGAGCTCAAGCCCAGCGGTGGGATTTGTACTGCAACAACAAGTTCAAGACAGGACCTCGGGGAGCTTTCCCAGCCTCCAGGGCTGAACCGGCACTCCGCCGATGGACTGCAAGAGCTAAACCATCAGGCAAGGCAGCTGGCCAGGCTGAGCTTTGGGGGAGCACGTTATGTCATGGCGTCAAAGAGCGCAAAAAGCTGCCACTCGACCGAGAAAAATCAGTGCCCTGCGAGGTACCGAGGACGTGGGAAGGGCTGCTCCCCCAAAGAGACGCGCCAGCCAAGTCACAGGACAGCCGTGCCCAGCAGCAACGGCCCCGGCTGCATCATACGCCCCACGAGCTGCATGGCATTGGTGGTCCGTCGCAGCCTCCTCCCAGACAGACGCCAGCAAGCCACCGCCGAGGCAGAGACGGGAGCCCCAGGTTGCCTTACCCAGCCGCCGGTAGCCCTCGGTGCCTGTAATGGGGCCCGGCGCCAAGCTGTTCACTCGGATGTTGTTGGGTCCCCACTCCACAGCAAGGTGACGGGTCATGGCATCTGGGAAGAGATTACATCAGGAATGAGAAATGGAGAGCAGAGCCATTCCAGTAACTTTCAGGGAGGCCAAAAAGCCACGGGAGATTCTGATCAAGAGCAAAGGACCCTAGAAGAGCCCTGGGGGAGAGAAGAGCCTCATCCCAAACCCAGGCACGTAGTAACCGCACCGATTCATATTCGCCTCTCCCAAGGCCATCTTCCCATCCCAATATTTGGGAAGAATCCGCTTCCTTACTGGCCCCACAGCTCACAGAGCCCCAGCAAGGAGCGTTTACGTACCTATGGCAGCCTTAGCAGTACCAGCATGCACCTGGAGGGCCTGCCCTCGGTAGCTCAGGGTTGCCGTGATGTTCACGATGACCCCACCATGGTCCTGGGGAAGGAAAGGAGACGTGGCGTTAGGCAGGGAGCTGCACAAGGGGTCACGTAGGGGAGCAGTGGGACAGGAGAGCTGGGCTAGGAGGGATGGTCACCTGTGGGCACTGCCAGGTGGCGGAGCATGGAAAGGTGCCACAACATCTAAAGACGGGCAGGACTCCCAGTTCCTGCACAGGGGCTGCCATCCCTGGGAGGGAACGGACTGGATCTGAGCAGGGTAGGTGGCAGAGGCCCGGCAGCGCAGCCCTGGGTACACGGGTGCTGTGCTCCCTTCTGCCCTCCACGCTTCCCTGAATTTCCCAGGAGCAACGCGTGGTTTGTTTGACGCTAACCCCCTGCCTACCAGGAGCCTCTCCACTGAGTCCTCTGGCTCCGGTTCCACTTACCCGGAAATATTTCTCAAAGAGGACTTTGGAGGTGTTGAAGGTGCCAAGGGTGTCGATATCTATCACTGTCTTGAAGGCATTGAAGGACAGGGCGCTGGCTGGGCAGAGAAAGTTTCCTGCAGCACCTGAAGAAGAAGCAGCCGGGGGCACAGTCAGGACTGGGCCAGCAGAGATCAGGCAGGTTCAGGACACTTCTGCGAGAGGGACGGCGAGCGATACTGTTTGAGTAGACTGAAGAGCACGCGGGAACAGCCCTGCTAAGGGGATAAAGAGCTTGCGGCTCTGGGTGCGCAGCAGCGCGGCCAGCCTGAGGGCAGGAGGGTGCTGGTGCAGTGGGAGCGGGGATGACCGGATGGCCCTGCATGAAGACCAGGTCTTTGCTTCCTCTGAGCCCATCCCCTCTGCGCTCCCAGGGGCTGCCCAGATGCTCCCAGGCCAAAGCAGCATAAGCCAGACGCTAGGCAAACACAACCCCCACGCAGGAAAATGCCCTTCCTAGCAGCGAATCTGGGCCAAATCTTCCCTCTGCCCACTCCAGCAGCTCACCGTTAACGAGGATGTCAATCCGCTTGAACTCTTTCAGTGCCTCATCCACCGCTGCCACAAGGGTTTGGGGCTGCCTGACATCTATGGCCAGAGGCAGGCACTGCTGGCCTGTGGCTGCCGCCAACTTTTTAGAGGCCTGCAAAAAAAAAAAGGAAAAAAAAAAAAAAAAGAAAAAAAGAGGGGTGAGATTCTTTCTAGGACTCTCTCCTTTGGCAAGGGTTAGACTCAGACCTCGTAACAGGCGAGCAAGAAGTCAGGCAGGAGCCACGTCCCTGTCAGCACACAGCAAACACCGCGGGCAGGGGAGAGACCTGCCTGAACACGGCTTCAGCCCGGCAGCACCCTGCCCCTAAAGCCCTGGGGGAGCCAGAGAAAGCTCCTGCAAGTCGCACCCCAACCGAATGCCAGCCTGGCCCTGAGGCCACAACTCCTTACGCCCAGTTACCTCTGTCATCGACAGGGCGCATCCCGAACACCTCTGCAGGCCAAGGACAAAGGTTGGATCCCAACAAGGCATTTTTGGCGTGAGCCCAGACATAACTGACCTTTAGATCCGAAAAACGTCAGTAGGCAAAAGGGCAAATGCAGACCAGCAGTTGCCAGGGTCTCTGCCCACGGGGCAGAGCGGGCCAGCTCTGCGGCTCAGCGTCTGCCCCAAACCATCCCCGAGGCGCTTGTGAAGAACACGACTCCCCGCAGCAAATCAAGCACAGGGGACGCGCAAACTCAGCAGCAACCCTGCACACCACCCAGCGACGCTCCACGTTCCTGCTCAGGCCCGTCGGGCTCTTCTGCGAGCAGCTTTGAGCCCCGACTAGCACGCACGTACGCCGAGCGTGAAGAGCCTGGGAAAGCAGTCCCTGTGTACTCAGAAGACCCCAGCCCCTGAGGGCTAAAAAGCTGCTGAGCTTTGCAGCTTGTTTTCTGGCACGTGAGCGCGAGGGAATGCGAAATGACAGCACTAACCCCCTCCAGGAGGCAGCTGGGTCACGTCAGCTCACTCCCAAGCGCTGACTTTGATCTTTACTGTATTTCAGTGAACTCCACGCACAGCTACCGCAAAGCTCGCTCTCAGCCGCTTTCAGCCTCAGTCCACGGCCCAAGCCAGGGTGAAGAACAGAAACTGTGATCAGCCAAACTCCAGCCCGGGGTCGGACACGCGGGGGCGGGTGTTTGTTCTGCCCAGCCGCCCACGGAGCGGCTACAGTCTAATCCAGCTTCTTCAGTCACTGCTCTCCAGACCTGCATCCTCCCCTCCATCTCAGGATCCAGTACAACCGAGGTTTTGGGGCTCAGCGTACCCACCTCAGCCCACGCAACCCTTGGACAAGGGGGTCTTGCCCTACTCGAGGCTGAGATTTAAGTTCGCCCTTGGGCTCCGCCACTTCCCTGCTGACAAACCTGCACCACAGTTTGTTTCTCTCTGTCTCATCAACAAAAAGGGGATGTGATACCTGGAACAGACACTCCCAAATCTGGCGGAGGAAGGCGTTTCCACCATTAACTGAGCCCTACTGCAAGGTGCGGTAGGTGCAGCCCCCCGTAAACCCGCACCCGTCCTACCCATCGCTGTTCCCTGCTGGTGCTGGAGCACTCAGAGCCGGGAGAAGACAGGGTGGCACGGCTGAGCCATTTCTCCTGTTGCACTACTCCCAGCTCCATCCAGAAGAGAGGGCAGAAGGATTTCCAGGCGTTCACAGCTCTCCCTACTGCTGCCTGTGCCACTGGAGCCCACGGACTCACCTCCGACACTCGCTGCAGGTTCCGGCTTGCGATGACGGTCCGGCAGCCGTGCCTGCAAAGAAGGGGCTGGTGAGAAGGACCACAGAGCGCCGGCTCCTCCGAGCTCTGGGGATCACCGGGAGCTCGCTGGGTGAGCGGCGGGAGGTGGCACAACGCCCTCGGAGGGGACGAATTGCTGCTCCTCCAGGCTTGCGGGGCTCGAAGGGAGGGAGAGTCACGGCGCCCTACAGCCCCGTCCCGGCCTCCCACACCCCCAGGAGCCACCGGAGCCCGCAGCAGGCAGGGCTGCCCGCACCTCCTGCCCGCACCTCCCAGGAGGGCCCTGCCGTCCCCGGCTCGTCCGGGCCCGCCGGCCCACACCCCACACGC